GCAGCTGCTGTTACTACTACTACTTTCCTTAATTTCTTTTACTCTTGCTTGATCGCCCGTCTCCCTTCCAAAAATATATAATCTTCTACAGAACGTTGTTAAATGCCGAATTAGGAATCGACATCACAGCACTCGGCAAACTCTCATAAGTGCTCCGTCCCCATCTTCAGCAGCAAGCGAAGAGTTCCAATTCCGATTGCACCAGTAGCCGTCTGATTGTACAGTAGAACCTCGCTTAACAAGCACCTCTCATAACGAGTTATTCGCATAACGAGAAAATAATTTTTAAAAGAATGACTTGCCTAACGAGCGACGTTTCGCATAACGAGTGGCGAGGAGAGGGGAAATCCCGCATTGTGCGCATGTTACATCAGTCTGTGTTTAGCACTCGTTCCAGTAGCATCGTAGTGTCGCTTGTGATCACACATTTTCTCAAACTTGTGTTATATAGTGATATATGTACATGAATCCTCCATGCCTACAAGATGACCTCCCTGAAGAATTTAAGTTCATCACGATCAAGTTTCTGCCTCCCAACACCACTCTGTTAATCCAGCCCATGGACCAGCAAGTTATTTCTAACTTTAAAAAGCTCTACACTAAAGCACTCCTTCGAGCATTGTTTTCAGGTGACTGAATGGACCAATCTCACTCTCAAAGAGTTTTTAAAAAAAATCACTTCCACATCGCTGCCTGCCTCAAGATGATCGACACGGCGGGGGAAGGGGTTATCAAGAGAACCCTAACTTCTGCTTGGAAGAAGCTTTGGCCAGAGAGCGTTGTCGAATGTGACTTTGAGGGGTTCGAGACAGTACCTGTAGAACCTGTAGTCAACGAGATTGTGTCTTTGGCCACTAGCATGGGATTGGAGATGGATAACAGTAATATCGAAGAGCTTGTGGAAGACCACAGTCAAGAGCTGACCACCGAAGAGCTTATGGAGTTGCATTGTGTTTCACAACAAGAAGTTTTGGAGGAAAGTTTGTCATAGAAGGAGGAGGTAACAGAAAAGCAACAATCTTCTGGCGAAATAAGAGAAATACTGAAAACATGGGAAACTGTTGCATCTTAGATTAAGAAGCATCACCCTAATAAGGAAGTGGCTATGCGAGCTTTAAATTTATTTAATGATAATGCTGTGTCGCATTTTCGCCACATTTTGAAGCGTCGGCAAAAACAAATGTTTCTGGACATCTTTTTAGTAAAAAATAATTAGCCAAGTATCATAATTATTTTGATTTTTGTTTCAAATTAGCATTCCATGTGGATTCGTTCCGCGGTGGAACAAAAGATAAAGATGATTTTAACAATATGTATATAATTTTCTTTGAATAAACGTTATACTTAACATTTTGTGTGTATTTTTTCGACATGGAACGCATTATCGTATTTTACATTAATTTATATAAGAAAAATTGTTTCGCATAACGAGTGTTTCGCTTTACTAGTATAGTATGATTCTGGAACGAATTATGCTCGTTAAGCGAGGTTCCACTGTATACCCGTCTCATCCTTTCCCTGATCCTCGGCCACATCCCCTGCTAACTCCCCGCGGCTCCATTCTCTTCAGACTGTAATGATCCATCTGCGCGTCTTTCACAGAAACAAGTCGATACTCTGTAGCCGGGCTGTTCCAAAATCTCCACAATAAAGGATTATCTTTCGCAGATTACACTAAATCCCTGAAACGCTAAGCTACTCCTCGCTCCCTTACAACAAGGCCCAATCCTGGCATGCCAGCAGGTCACGTGAATCTCTGGCTACTTTAATTATATACAGCTGTTGCTCGAATTTTAGCCATTTTCGGGCTGAATATTAGATTCGTTTTGTTTTCTTACTAATATTATTAACACTCTGCACCTTGCTTGCTCTCTCTGCCTCTCCTCTCTCTCTCTCTCTCTCTCTCTCTCTCTCTCTCTCTCTCTCTCTCTCTCTCTCTCTCTATCTCTTTTCTCTCTCTCTCCCTCTCTCTCTCTCTCTCCCTCATTCCCTCTCTCTATCTTTCTCTAACTCCCTCCCTCCCTCTCTCTCTTTCTCTGTCTCTCTCTAAACATAACGTAAGACAAGTAGATCTGCCAAGATATAACCCTTCTGAAATAAAGATCGCTTTTATAGTTGTCAACCCCCCCCCCCCTCCCCACCCCCCCCCCCTCCTTTTTTCTCTCTCTCGCCATCGATTCATTTGTTTATTGCGCGTAAAGCTCCCCACAATGTCATCATCATCTGCCATTCTCACCGTTAAGATTAATTATGATCCAATGCTTGCTGGGTTGTACTGGTCACTGGCATTCCATGTGTATAAATAATGTCCTTAGCATCATCAATCTCTTTGGATGCCCTCTGGCTTTTGCATCTTCTTAGATGCAGAAACATCGTGATAATTTAGACTGCCACATTCTAACCAGATGCCCAGATGTCACTGTGAGGTTTGTTAATGCATTTATCACAAAGTGATCTTCACACAACCCAACAGTTTCGTTTCTCACTTGGTTGGGTCGAGTCAAGGAACAACAGCACAGCACTCGGGTCATTCGTATGCTGTCTTCCTCATCTTCAGAAGCGAGACATCATCAATGCCATGCGAGAGACTAAAAGCTGTGAGGCTTTCAGTTTCGTGGAAAATGATTTTTAAGTGAATAGACTGTATACCTTGGGTGTACTAATTGGAGCTGCGAGACAGGAAGACGTGGGGGGGGGGGGGCATCCTGTCGTTACATCAGCCGGAACAGAATGGGAGTTAGCTTTAAAACACTTAGGAGGAGATCGGAGTAGTCATGGTCATGCCGGATGTGCGATAAAGATTATCTTTAAATTAACATCAAAAATAAGCCATAAAAGAATTCCCGTTCTCATGGTACCAGTAGAAGTTTCGATGATGTATCAGTCTTGTCTTTCCTCTGAGTGTAGAGTGTGGGTCAGATCTCCAGGTCATTCCACACAGCGTCTTCTTCCGATTTTCTCTACTCCCGGAATGTCTCGCTGCTTCAGGACAGGAAGAGATCTGTAGAACAGGCCCTTCAGTTAGCTTCGTATAAAGTACTTTTTAGTGTCTCTGATATTTCTGCTGTCCATCTTCTACGTGGTCGATCTCTGGTTCTGTTACTGCTGTATCTGTATAATATTGTTCCTTGTGGTGCCCTGAGATGTGCAAATCTTCTTAGATAGCTAAACCATTGGACTGGTTGTCTGCCTACACAGTATTGCTTATGTGCCGACTCTCGTAATGATTATCCATGCTTCTGTATTGTTGACTTGCTCTCAAAGGTCCTTGATTTCCTCTAGTTGTCATGTATCAAGTCACCACTCAGTGGTGCTGTCAGGGCCGTCTTAACGGCATTATGGGCCTCAGGCCAACCAATGTGCTGTGGCCCCTGTGCAAGCCAGGGTGGGCAGACCCCTATAAAAAAAAAACCTCTCACAGGAATGAGGTGTAAATATTTTACTGGCACTTTAACAAAACTGGTGCTAAAGCAGACACACAGATTAGACGGCACAGTATGAAATTACTACGAACTTTTTGTATGGCAAGTAAATTAACATTCACAGATCATCTTCGCGTCCCGATGCTGGTGGGCCCCCTAGCAAGTTCCCAGCGAGCCCATGCGTGAAGACGGTCCTGGGTGCATCGATAACCACCACATACTTGGGTATAGTAGAGTAGTTGTTACCATGGAGGCTTTCCAAGGCACACTATCAAAAAAAGTGTTGATTTTACGGATGAGAAAAATAAAATAGACCCTACAGAGATCAAGTGGCGAGATCAGCGCAACGCGACCTGCTGTCGTATAACGCCCTAAATGGCAAATAAATATAATATATCCGAAAAAGTGAAAAATACAAATACTTTACAAAACTTGAATATGTGGTCGGGTGGGGGAGTTTAGGTCTGTTACAGCTTTCGGGATCACAATTGGCTGCACTAATTAGTGCAGAAGAAGAATAAACAGCTATAGTGTTAAAAATAATAAGAAAGAAAGAAATAGAGAAAAAAAGAAAGAAAGAAAGAAAGAAAGAAAGAAAGAAAGAAAGAAAGAAAGAAAGAAAGAAAGAAAGAAAGAAAGAAAGAAAGAAAGAAAGAAAGAAAGAAAGAAAGAAAAGAAAGAAAGAAAGAAAGAAAGAAAGAAAGAAAGAAAGAAAGAAAGAAAGAAAGAAAGAAATGAAAGAAAGAAAAAAGAAAGAAAGAAAGAAAAGAAAGAAAGAAAGAAAGAAAGAAAGAAAGAAAGAAAGAAAAAAGAAGAGAAGAAAGAAAGAAAGAAAGAAAGAAAGAAAGAAAGAAAGAAAGAAAGAAAGAAAGAAAGAAAGAAAGAAAGAAAGAAAGAAAGAAAGAAAGAAAGAAAGAAAGAAAGAAAGAAAGAAAGAAAAGAAAGAAAGAAAAGAAAGAAAAAAGAAAGAAATGGACAGTGATTGGAGATTGCGTTTTTATAAGATGACGGGAAAACTTGTTGCATAAAAGCTATCAATGACCAGCATGCAACAACAACAAAAACCTGTAAAATTATTGTTTAAATCCACTGCCTTCTCCAGAAACTGTCGTTTAATCTGTGTATAAATCTACTTAATAAAAATAATGACCACATACCAGTCTCTCGACTTGCACAAGAACGGGAATTCCCGTTGACCCAGTTGGCGTATAAATAGAGTCGACCGTGGTTGAATCCTAAGGTATTCTTCTATTCAGTTTCAATAATTTCGCTCACTAAATTACACAGATAATGGCAATCCCCGCTACTAACACAATTGCGTGAGACGGCAGGCGGCATGGTGAAGCACGTCTATGCCACCTTCGAGGCCGACATAGGAGACACCAAATTCTCACAGGAACAATTAATAGAAGTATCTTGGAGTGGCTGCTACGTCGGAGGACTGAGCAGGTATGGTCCAATGTACAGTCATGTTGATTATGATAACTCAACACAACATAGCAAAGACAGCGAGCACCATATATAGGATCTAAATCTTGTTTGATGGATGATTACATTCGAAGACAACACAAGTCTTACCTTGGTGATGTCACACATGATAATACCCTGGGCCAGTCCCACATAAATGGCAGCACACCATGCCAGAATCCAGCGAGGATCGGTGACGCACTGCTTAATCTCCTTGAACCGCTCCCTCCAGGTGACCACCTTTCGCTGCAGGTAGGTGTCAGGACTTTCAAAGAAGATCAGCACAGCTCCCATCGCAACGACGCTCAGGCAGAGATAGATCAACGTCAGCAACTGGTAGAAGTTGACAGGAGGCGAGGGTTCTGCTGACCTTGGCGCCTGAAGCGGGATAAACGGCAGCGTGTACGTCCACTTGGTGCTCCTCATCAGCTTTTCCGAACTGGATTTTGAGGAAGATGAGTTGGAAGCTTTATTGATGATCGCCCACTCCTCGCTACAATGAAATTGGGACACCGAAATGAGACCGGAACTCAGGAGATTGCCGAAGATCTGCGCCGAGTGGATGGTGATGATGGTAACTGTCTGAAAGAGTCGCAGCGATTTCTGCGGTGCCATCCGGGTCAGCGTTGAGTATTTCAACCCGTAATTGAGAAGCAGCATATCCTGTACCGCCCAGAATGCTGGCTGGCACAAGCCTACCAGACATGACGATGGCAGCAGGGTGTAGGCTGAAGGGATGACGTTGGAGACTGAGTACAGGATGTGGAAAAACAAGGAGGAGAGGAGTAATGTTTTGGCTTTGATCTTCCTCAGGATGAGCGCGGTCAGGAGACAACCAACGATGTAGGAGGTGTACATACACACGAGCGAGATCTTGCCCAACTGGTCAGGCTCGTGGATGCTCGTCTGCAGATTTCTGGAACACAAGAACTTTTGGTTTCACCCTCAGGACTATTAACAATGTATACAGTCAACAGGGACACCAGGATGCCCCACACGAGTACAGTCTACACAGCTTCGGGTACGGTCCACACATTTACGAGTACAACCCACACAGCCATGGTACAACCCATACATAAACGGGTACAGTACAGCCCAAACAGAAAGTGGTACAATCCACAATGGCACAGGGACAACCCACAGATGTACAGGGACAATCCAGAGCCATAGGGATAATCCACCAGAGATGCACAGGTAAAATTCTCACAGACATATTGCCACAGACACAGGGACAATCCACGCAGACAAGGGGGCAATCCACATAGCCACGTGAATAATAACGTAGACACGGGGGAAATCTGCACAGCCATGGGGATAATAACGCAGACACGGGAACAATTACGCAATCACGGAAATAATATACACAGGCATAAGAACAATCTACACAGACATAGGGACAATCCACACATACATCGGGACAAATCACACAGACATAATGACAATCCTCTCAGACATGGGGACAATCCACACAGAGATGAAGACAATCCACAGATGCATATGTGATATTTTTTCACAGCCAGGGGGGACAATCCACGCAGACAGGAGGATAATAACGCGGTCACGGGGACAATTCACACAATCATGTAGGAACGATCAACACACACACACAGGAACAATTCATACAGACATAGGAACAAATCACACAGACACAGGGACAATCAACACAGACATAGGGACAAATCACACGGACATAGGGACAAATAACACAGACATAGGGATAATTCACACAGACATATAGGAACGATCAACACACACATAGGAACAATTCACACAGACATAGGAACAAGTCACACAGACATAGAGACCATCTACACAGACATAGGTACAATCAAGACAGACATAGGGACAATTCGCACATACATAGGTACACTTGACACAGACATAGGGACAATCTACACAGACATAGGGACAATCCACACATACATCGGGACAAATCACACAGACATAATGACAATCCTCTCAGACATGGGGACAATCCACACAGAGATGAAGACAATCCACAGATGCATATGTGATATTTTTTCACAGCCAGGGGGGACAATCCACTCAGACAGGAGGATAATAACGCGGTCACGGGGACAATTCACACAATCATGTAGGAACGATCAACACACACACACAGGAACAATTCATACAGACATAGGAACAAATCACACAGACACAGGGACAATCAACACAGACATAGGAACAAGTCACACAGACATAGAGACCATCTACACAGACATAGGTACAATCAAGACAGACATAGGGACAATTCGCACATACATAGGTACACATGACACAGACATAGGGACAATCTACACAGACATAGGGACAATCCTCACAGACATGGGGACAATTCGCACATACATAGGAACACAGGACACAGACATAGGGACAATCTACACAGACACAGGGACAATCCTCACAGACATGGGGACCATTCACACATACATGGGGTCAATCCACATAAACATGGAGATAATCCATAGATGCACAGGAACAATTCTCATAACCACAGGGCAATCCCACAGATACGGGGATAAAAACGCAGATACAGGGACAGTCCACACAGACACGGGGACAATCCACACACACACTGACAATCCACACACAGTGACAATCCACACACACAGTGACCATCCACACACACACAAACAGTGACAATCCACACACACACAGTGACAATCCGCACAGATATGGGGACAATCCATGCAGCAAAGCAAACGGCAACACATACAATCACAATACAATCACAATAGCCATTAGTAAATAAATAATACGACGGCTTTTTGTGAGTTAATACATTGTGTTAATAAATAACTTGTGATTAGAGTTCACAAATCAAGATAACAGAGTTAGCAAACTAAGGTAACAACATAGTTAACAAATTAGGGTAACAGTTGAAAGAGTTTAATTTAGGTAACGCGGTTACAAATCGAGGCAACAACACTTGCAAAGTTAAACTGGTTAATATTAAGATTTTCATCTTGGTCCCTCCACTTAACTTAAGGTAACCGACTGAACAAACTGACATAACAGGTTTAAACTTAGGTAAACCAGTTACCTTTTAATTGCGTGAGTTAGTTATGTGAGTTACTTAATTATCTGATTTAGTTACGAGAATTAATTTTAAAAGCTGACAGCTTGATGGGGTAGTCATTTCATTAATGAGTTGTCTGACGCATTCATGGTTTGACAACATTATCTCCTGCCCATTATCTCTTGCAGCGTTTCTCAAACTTGTTTCGCTCTGGCACCCGTGTCAGGCAATTTTTTTTTCAGCATACCAACCCTTGAAGCAGTTTGAACATTTAGAAAAAGAAGAAAATAACAGTGAAAATGTAATGTTCAGTTGTCTTTAATGCGACGAATGAAACTGTTTGGAAGAATGTTTCATTATTTCCAACATGTTTATGCCAGGTTTAGTTAACTGTGCCCTCTAACCTCTTGAAGGTTGCTCCTATTTCTTGTTTTTAATGTAACCGTACGTTGAGAATGCACTGCAGCCTTTCCATCAGCATTGTTTTCTAAATACACCTGCATCCAGAACTCTTCTTGGCTACCTTCATGGTATTTATGTTTTAAAATGCTGTCTTCACTGATGACAAGCAGATTACACACTGATGACAAGCAGATTTTGAAAACTTCTTCATTACTGCCGTGGCACTATTGACATACACTCGCGACACCCATGTGTGCCGCGGCACCCCTGCCATACACTCGCGGCACCCATGTGTGCCGCGGCACCCCTGCCATACACTCGCGGCACCCATGTGTGCCGTGACACCCCTGCCATACACTCGCGGCACCCTTGTGTGCCGTGACACCCCTGCCATACACTCGTGGCACCCATGTGTGCCGTGACACCCCTGCCATACACTCGCGGCACCCATGTGTGCCGTGACACCCCTGCCATACACTCGCGGCACCCATGTGTGCCGTGACACCCCTGCCATACACTCGCGGCACCCATGTGTGCCGTGACACCCCTGCCATACACACGCGGCACCCATGTGTGCCGTGACACCCCTGCCATACACTCGCGGCACCCATGTGTGCCGTGACACCCCTGCCATACACTCGCGGCACCCATGTGTGCCGCAGCACCCCTGCCATACACTCGCGGCACCCACGTATGCCTCGGCACCCCTGCCATACACTCGTGGCACCCCTGCCATACACTCGCAGCACCCCTGCCATACACTCGCGGCACCCATGTGTGCCGTGGCACCCCTGCCATACACTCGCAGCACCCCTGACATACACTCGCGGCACCCATGTGTGCCGTGGCACCCCTGCCATACACTCGCAGCACCCCTGACATACACTCGCGGCACCCATGTGTGCCGTGGCACCCCTGCCATACACTCGCGGCACCCAGTATGAGAACCGCTGATCTTCCAAAGAAAACAAAATTATAAATTAACTTGAGCGTTAATCTAAGTACTACTTTGTAATCGGATGAGCGGAAAGGATAAGCTAACAAGATGACCTAAAAGGATAAGTCGAGGACGAGTTGATAAGATGAGATGAAAGGATGAAGTGGTGAGATTAATTAAGAGGATGAGTTGATAACTGGTTGAGTTAAAATGATGAGTTAAAAGATGATTTGATGAGTTGGTCGAATTAGTAGGATGAGTAACAAACGGAATATGTAACAAATCTGAGCAAAATGGGTGAGTTAAAAAGATAAATTCTTCTTCTTCTTCGCGTTCACCGGAAGAAAATTCCGGCAGAAAGTTCTGGTTGTTTGTCCACCTCAAGATTTTAGTCCTGTTTCAGAGTGTTACGTTCACAGATCTGACATAACTATATTTAGATTGTTGGTGCCTTGTCTCTCAGACAGATGCAATCCGATTTCGAATGAAGTCCCCAATTAGTCGACTATTCCGCTATGCTTGCTGGGGAGGCAATGGATATATTCTTGCCCCCCCCCCCCCCCCACCCCCCCCCCCTCTTTTTTCCACAATAGGGCCCCGGAACCCACGCGGGGACAAAGAATAATTTAAAACCATGAGCTCACTTTTATGTAATTATGAGTTAGGAGTGATACTTCAGGGGAGATAAGTAAAGTAAAGGACTTTTTTTTCCACGCCTTTCGGCGTATCGGGGAATATAGGGCTAGATCTATGGTGAATCAAGTAAGAAACAAAAAGGCACCGCTCACCTGGAAGGTATGACAGCAAACACAGCCAGAAAAGTCGCGGAGCACTGAGAGACAAAGTTCCTCCAGATGTTGCTGTCCTTGTCTTCGAAGTCTTCCTCTTCCGTGGCTAGAAACTGCGACTCGTTGATGTGCGTCCTGAAACTGAAGATGAAGAGAATATGTGGTTTTAACACTTACTAATATCATAGACAGTTTTATAACGGAACGAAACGTAGACCATCGAGCTTAACAATATAACAAACACAAAGGCAAAGTGAACGTTGCGGCAAAACAGTCTTCATCAGCACATTCATAGATCAAACAAAACTACACGAATTCAATAAATCACTTACCTCACGTATCTCCAAGCAACAACGTTGATGTCCTGACAGTGGAATAAAGAGACGTGTGGTCCAAGACTTGAACAGCCCAGGAATGCAAACAGCCGTAACACTTGGTAAGTAAGGTTAAGGACAATTTCCCGCGACTCCGAGCGTATTTTGGGTATTTATGGCTACTTCTAAAATTTATAGACCAGTCGATGAGTTAGTCAACATCACACTGACCGCCTTTACTTCCCGAACTTTACGTAGTACTCACTCAATGCAGTATCGACATAGGAGTCAAGGACATTTAAAAAAAAATGACTCTGTCAGCACCCGAGCCGACAACATTCCCACACGCAGGCGAGCGCATTCCCGCTACACCAGAGCTGCTGCCTACAACATTTTGGTATCCGGAAATGTACATACACTTTGATTTATTATCATGAGAATTGGTGCTTTTCAACATACAGGGGTATCCCAAAATGTACATACAGTCTGATTTCTTATCATGAGAATATGATTTAACATACAGGGGTATCATTTTATTATCATGAGAATATGTGCATTTAACATACAGGGGTATCCGGAAATGTATATGCAGTCTGATTTATTATCATGAGAATATGTGCATTTAACATACAGGGGTATCCCGAAATGTATATACAGTCTGATTTATTATCATGAGAATATGTGCATTTAACATACAGGGGTATCCCAAAATGTACATACAGTCTGATTTATTATCATGAGAATATGTGCATTTTGTTACGGGGGCATCAGGAAATGTTTATACAGTCTGATTTATTATCACAAGAATATGTGCATTTATATAGAAATCACAAGAAAAGATCAAACATGTTGATATCAGAAAGAAAGAAGATTCAACCTCGTGAAATCATAAAGAACGATCGAACATGGTGACAACAGAAATAGAAGATTAGTAATGGTGTAGAAAGAGAGAAGATTAGTAATGGTGTAGAAAGAGAGAAGATTAGTAATGGTGTAGAAAGAGAGAAGATTAGTAATGGTGTAGAAAGAGAGAAGAAGTAATGGTGTAGAAAGAGAGATTTAGTAATGGTGTAGAAAGAGAGAAGATTAGTAATGTAGAAAGAGAGTTTAGTAATGGTGTAAAAGAGAGAAGATTAGTAATGGTGTTTAGAAAGAGAGAAGATTAGTAATGGAAAGAGAGAGTAGAAGAAAGAGAGAGAGAGTAATGGTGTAGAAAGAGAGAGTAAAAGAGAGAAAATTAGTAATGGTGTAGAGAAAGAGAGAGGTTTAGTAATGGTGTAGAAAGAGAGAAGAGAAAGAGAGAAGATAGTAATGGTGTAGAAAGAGAGAAGAGTTAGTAGTATGGTGTAGAAAGAGAGAAGATTAGTAATGGTAGAAAGAAAGAGAGAAGAATAGTAATGGTGTAGAAAGAAGAGGAGAAGATTAGTAATGGTGTAGAAAGAGAGAGGTTTAGTAATTAGTAGTATGGTGTAGAAAGAGAGAGGTTTAGTAGAAAAGAGAGAGAGTAATGGTTTTAGTAATGGTGTAGAAAGAGAGAGGTTTAGTAATGGTGTAGAAAAGAGAAGATTAGTAATGGTGTAGAAAGAGAGAGGTTAGAGTAGTATGGTGTAGAAAGAGAGAGAAGATTAGTAATGGTGTAGAAAGAGAGAAGATAGTAAAGAAAGAGAGAGGTTTAGAATGGTGTAGAAAGAGAGAAGATTAGTAATGGTGTAGATTAGTAATGGTGTAGAAAGAGAGAGGTTTAGTAATGGTGTAGAAAGAGAGAAGATTAGTAATGGTGTAGAAAGAGAGAGGTTTAGTAATGGTGTAGAAAGAGAGAAGATTAGTAATGGTGTAGAAAGAGAGAAGATTAGTAAAGAAAGAGAGGTTTAGTAGGTGTAATGATTAGTAATGGTGTAGAAAGAGAGAGGTTTAGTAAGAGAGAGAAGATTAATGGTGTAGAAAGAGAGAGGTTTAGTAATGGTGTAGAAAGAGAGAAGATTAGTAATGGTGTAGAAAGAGAGAGGTTTAGTAATGGTGTAGAAAGAGAGAAGATTAGTAATGGTGTAGAAAGAGAGAAGATTAGTAATGGTGTAGAAAGAGAGAGGTTTAGTAATGGTGTAGAAAGAGAGAAGATTAGTAATGGTGTAGAAAGAGAGAAAATTAGTAATGGTGTAGAAAGAGAGAGGTTTAGTAATGGTGTAGAAAGAGAGAAGATTAGTAATGGTGTAGAAAGAGAGAAGATTAGTAATGGTGTAGAAAGAGAGAGGTTTAGTAATGGTGTAGAAAGAGAGAAGATTAATGGTGTAGAAAGAGAAGATTAGATTAGTAATGGTGTAGAAAGAGAGAAGATTAGAAAGAGAGAAGATTAGGTGTAAGAAGATTAGAAATGGTGTAGAAAGAGAGAAGATTAGAAATGGTGTAGAAAGAGAGAAGATTAGAAATGATGTAGAAAGAGAAAAGATTAGAAATTATGAAATCATAAAGACAGATGACCATACAGGGTTAAATAAGAGAAAGTCGAACAAATAGCATAGCTGGATTTCATTAGAAAATAATAGCAATGGTTCGGTCATTCCACTAATTTCTCAGCATACTGTATACAACAACGAGACATAATGTACAGATCAGTGGGAGTCAAAAGAAACTGTTAATTTAAGCAAAGGAAAGATGAGATAAGCTAATAATTATCTGAGACATGAGTGAAAATGAACCTAACGTTGCCGGCAACGAAAGTGCACAACAAGGAAAAGAGAACATCAAGATAAAAAGAGGCGGACCTATCAGTTCGTGGACTGAGGGAATCACTGACAGGTGAAGACTGCATAATATTACCGCCTACAAGGCAACTGAGGGGGCCGTGGGTCGACCAATCATCATCAGTTAAGCTGCAAAGACATGATGCTGACATAAGAAGACAACAAACAAGATGAAAAGCGAACCCAAGCATACAAAGTCTTTGTGCTGGAAAAGCAAGAGTAAGTTAAAAAAAAAAAGGGGGAAACCATTTTTCACGCCTGTCAGGAGCATTGGGTATATAGGGCTAGACCTATATTTTACAGACAAAACGGTATTTGGTGGGTAATGTGGTCAGCATTATACCGGCCAACTTTACTTCCCAGGACTGTGCCTGGTCCTCACTCAAGGCTAGGAACCAAGGAAATTTTTTTGAAAAAAAACCCGAACCCCGTCAGGAACCAAACCTACGACCCTCCGATCCGCAGGCGAGCTTCTGGCCGCTAGACTACGGTGGCTCTCAGAAAAGCTAGAGGGTTTCTTCATTTCTTCTTCTTCCTTTTTACCGGCTGTTAACTCCGGCTTTAAGTTATAGTTGTTCGTCTACTTCTAGACTTTAGACATGTTCCAGTACTTGGGATTTGCCTGCACATCTGTGTTAGACCTGAATTATTTGTATGCAGAATGTTGACTACTTACCTCTCAGGTTGAAATATTCAAACTTTGAAAGAAAGACCCTTAATAAGTCTCTTTTTTTTAAGGTTGGCGGGGGAGGGGGATTTAGATCTTATTCCCCGCGCCTTCCCCATCCAAATGGCATCAACATTTGCTTGTCGAAACTGACCACGCACATACTTGTCCGGAGCAATATAACATCAACAGAAACAAAGGCATCAACTAATCTCTCAGAACGTCTACAATGAATCGAATCGCGCTGTTCTGAAATGGCGCAACTATAGAAGCTGTTATATCTTTGACGGAGAGCCAATGGACACATGAAAGAAGCCTGCGCATTCTATCGGGAATTTGCTATCTAATTAGCGTCAATGAAATTGCATGCAGGATCTCAATTGTTCAAGAAAACAAAAAATCTCCAAATGCTCAAATGAAACATCAACCAGTTTTTTTAGAGAGATGTGTAGATATTATTCAATTAATTAATGATTTAATTAATTATCTATCTATCCATCATGTCGATAAAATATATCCCGTTTGGCACAGGTCACTGGGATTGTCCATGATCTGTTAATTATTTCTGATACATGGACATGTTATGAGAAGAGGGAAAATAGAACATGTTGTGACCACTGGAAAGATATGTGGAAGGAGAGATTGAGGAAGACAACGAGAGAAGATGCTTGACAGTTTTGTTGCATGGCATGGAGGTGTGTCGGCACACGAACTGATACATGCTGCAGGAGATCGCAGATTGTGGAGAGGCATGATCGCCCACGCCAGTCGGCAAGGCACCTGATGATAATGATGACATGGACAGATCAATGGAAAAAGGGTTAGTAGAGGCAGACCAAGAGAGATGATGCTGGATGGGCTGAAACGATGGCATGGGGGATATCATCAAGAAAGCTGTTCCAGGCAACTAGAGATCGTGATCTGTGGAGACGCATGAGCGCCTACGCCAGTTGGCAGGGCACATGATGATGATGACATGCATTCATTCATGTTACAATACCAAACGGAAGTCGCCTTGGCAGAGCGGTTAGACGCGCGCCGCGGATCGGAAGATCGTGGGTTCGCTCCCTGGCGGAGCCGGACTTTTCCTTCAAAAATGACCTTGGCTCGCACGTCGTCGACCTAGCCTTGAGTGGGTACCGGGTGCAGTCCCGGGAAGTAAAGGCGGCTTGTTCCGTTGGTCTATAAAATATAGGTCTAGCCCTATATGTCCCTTCACACATAAAGGCGTGGAAAGGGGTCCTTTAATTTACTTATAATACCAAACAACGAGTGATCCAATATGCCGATGATTCACTATTGGTATCCACGTTACAGGCAGGTATAGAAAACTTAATAACCTCAACATAAATAAACAGTGCAAATCACAATTTATATCGTAACAAAGCAAAAACAAAGATAATGGATACAGATAAAACTTCT